TTGGCTTGAAGTGTGTTTTCTGTAAAGAGGAGAATGAGAGTATTGTTCATTTATTTTATGATCGTATTTATACAAAATTATTTTGGTGTGATTTGGCTTTTTTGTTGTTGTTGTTGTTGTTGTTGTTGTTGTTGTTAAACAGAGTACTAAGATTGAATCACAACTCAAAGAAAATTATGTTTTTGGTTTTTTTTATTAGAGAGATATAATTTAAGATTGTTCATTTTGCTTATCCTGTAAAGCAGGTAATTGCAAAGTTTTGTAAAGACAATGACTTGAATTGTGTTTTCTGTAAAGAGGAAACTGAGAGTATTGTCCATTTATTTTTTTATTGTATTTATACAAAATTATTTTGGTGTGATTTGGCTTTTTTGTTGTTGTTGTTGTTGTTGTTGTTGTTGTTGTTAAACAGAGTACTAAGATTGAATCACAACTCAAAGAAAATTATGTAAATTATGTTTTTTATGAGCATACTGTTGACTTCAAAATTTGGTATATAATAAATTTACTCATTATTATATATGGAAAATTATTCACCTACAAATGTAAATGCAGTGTAAAAATTATACACTATATTTACTAAATAAAATTGTGTCAACAGATTACAAGCAATATTATTAATTAAATTCAACACATAGGAATTCATTAGAATTAATCAAACGAGATGCTTACAAATTAACCATTCACTGTTAACTTAAACAGAGTACTAAGATTGAATCACAACTCAAAGAAAATTATGTTTTTGGTTTTTTTTATGAGCATACTGTTGACTTCAAAATTTGGTATATAATAAATTTACTCATTATTATATATGGAAAATTATTCACCTACAAATGTAAATGCAGTGTAAAAATTATACACTATATTTACTAAATAAAATTGTGTCAACAGATTACAAGCAATATTATTAATTAAATTCAACACATAGGAATTCATTAGAATTAATCAAACGAGATGCTTACAAATTAACCATTCACTGTTAACCCTTGCTGTAGAAAAATGGCCAAAGAAGGGTATAACTGCAGCCTGGAGATCTCCAAATGGGGGCGGGAACTCCCAAACGGGGTGGGAGCTCCAATAAAGAAAGATGGCGTTCAGGAGATAAACAGTTAATAAGATTGTGCGATATGAGATCGTTCCGTAACTCCCCAACCGGACCTCACCGGACAATGGCACCTTTTTAGTTACACCCAGCATCACTACCCCCTCCTACCCTGCGAATTTCGAGCCCCGGGACGCCCCCGTTGCTTAAAACAAAGTGAAAGAGTAAAATCTTTCCCCTGCGCTGCGCTGGGACGGCTCGCGGGAGAGCTCGTGGGTGATTCCCGTTTATATCAAGAAGCAGATGTTCAAACTCCAGTCCGAACACCACTGGCCACGAGCTTTGGGCTCTGCTCTCATGGAGAATATTTACTTATATAGCATATTTTATTTTAGATCAACTAGAAACAATGTTACATTTATAAAGTTTTATTTTGAAATGTAAGTCAATAACAATTGGCTGGAGCCAGAGCCAATGGTGAAAGACCCCGCCCCATTTTGGAGGTTCTGCCCACTTTTGGAGTTCACGCCCCATTTTGGAGATCTTCGGTCTGCAGTTATACCTACTTGGAGATTTGTCATTTTGGAGAAAGCAGCCTACAGGAATATACTGTGAATTAACAGAGCTCAAAGTTGGCACTAAGAGGTTGTTCAAAATCACACCCTATATCCTCATTCACTATTCCCTACATTAGTTTACTTAACCGGGTGAATGAAAGGAAGCGAGTGAATTCAGACACTGATGAACACCTGCTGATAACAAGCAGAATCACTGAAGGACAGAGAAACAAGAACAGAAAAAAAAGAGACACAAGAAGCACAAGAACAACAACTGACTTCCAGCTTCAACTTTAAGACCATTTCACACTGTTGTGAAGTTACTGCTACGGAGGTCAGTGTTTGCTTTAGTTGTGCCCTTGAACCTTGACTTTTAGCATGAGACATTTTCTGTCTGCTCTAACTGTGTGTTCAAAAATAACCTTTCTTATGGCAAGACAAACGGGTCAGATGATATTTGTTGTGTTATGCTGATGACAGAGCTATGGTGGACTCATCTGAATCTCATTTAATCTGATCTCATTTAATGTTTGATTTAGTTACATGGGGTGTTTGAGCTGTATTTTTGTCTATTGACTGCAAAAGCTTTGTTTTATGAGATTGAACAAAATTTCACTAATCATACTTTAACAATATGTTTTTATAAGTTTTGAATTGAAGTATTAGTTAAATACTCACAGACATCAACAATCAGCACGGGAATCTCACCAATGGTGACAGAAGTTTCATGCCGCAATGCATGCTGGATCCAGCATAATATGAAACTCCCAGCATGCACTGCAGCGTGAATAAATTACGCAGCTGAATGTTCTTACTATTTTCTTTATTTGCATGTATTTTTTTGCAGATATTTTTGTTGTGACATTTTCTAGCCTGTTTTGAGATATTAAAAGTTTCTCTTTCTTTCTTTTATTGCTACCATTGTTGAGATTTCTATGCTGATTTGTGATGTCTGCGTGTTTCTCAGTGAAACAGTATTCTTATTTATTTATTATAATTTGTTCTTAAATCATCTATTCTAACTGCTTACTGTTGTAACTTTTGTTGTAGTTTCTCAGTGGCAGTAATTTGACGTTTAACTGTGTTAATACTGCTGTATATTTGGTAAGGCATTTGACACAGAATGAGATTAATTCATCAAAAAACTACATGATGAGCACTAACCAACAGCCAGCACTCACTAATCATCTTACTTTCTCTGTTGTTGCTGTAATAAATGCACTTTGAAAGCACATTTTCAATAAAACACAAACATCTGAACCTCTGCTAATTCTCAATAAGAGCTTCTGTAGACGTATGACAGAAATAAAATCAAACTGGTTAGTGTAATAATGTGTAATGCTCGAAGTCAGTTGTAGTTGTGTTTCTGCTCGTCTCTTTTCAGTGTTCTGTTCTTGTTCCTCTTCAGTGATTCTGCTTGTTAACAGCAGGTGTTCATCACTAATGCTCAACAATCACTTACATATTCACTTAATCTCACTGCAACCCTGCGTCCGTGTTACTTTTTCTCTTTGTAGTGTGGACACTACATGATTTTCATGTGGGGTTAAAAGGGTTAAATGTGTAAGATAAAAAGACACACCCACACAATTTATGTTAACTAATTTTAATTTTAACTAATGTAATTAATTTTAAGGCAAACAAACTGTAAAACAGTAATACACTGGCAACACTGTTGCCAGTAGTTTACTGTCAAGTCAAGTAAAAGCATCAATGCACTGCGAAACCTACACTGTAAAAAATGATTAAATATATTTGTTTCAAAATATTACAAGCAATATTATTAATTAATTCAACACATTGGAATTAAATAGAATTAATAAAATGAAATGCTAACAATTAACCATTCAAAATGTGTAAAATATCATGAAAAATGAAAGTAAAATTCAAACAAAAATATTGGTTTCATTGGACAAAAAAACAACAACAACAACAACAATATGCTAATGAATACTATGTTATGCGTGCTAGGCCAGTAGTTGGCGATCAAGAAACACCCTGCAAAAACATTATATGCATGCACATGACGTCAACTTTTTCACAAATTCACGTTTTTGTTGATTACATGGAGATGATAAAGGCACTGTGTTCAAAAGCTTGTGCTTTCAAGCCCCCAAAACAGAGTTATTGACGACACCTGATGTTAACAAACAGAATCACTGAAGGAGAAAAATTTAGACAAAAATAGGTTACCATTATGGTGGTCAGTGTTGGCTTTAGTTGGACTCTTGACCCTTCAATTTTTTTTGTACTTTTTTTTTTTGTAGTTGAGTTATAGCAGCTAGATAAGCCAACAGAAAATGAGATCAGGTGGTGTTGCTTATATTTTGGCATCATCTGCAAGGACAACCTCTTCCAACGACCCAGGAGCGGTCTGGCAATGACATGTGAGTTTTCCAGCATGATGGAGCACCATGCTGCAAGGCAAGAGTGATAATGAAGTGGCTCAGATATCATTTCAGGTAAATTTTGAATTTGTGACCAGGCAACTCTCTGAATCTTAATCCCATAGAGAACCTGTGGTCAATCCTCAAAAGGCAAGTGGACAAGCAGATAAGATTGTGTAATAAAACATACACTGATTGGCTTCATCACTCTTTCTCCTCTCCACCAATAAACTGGTGTGTGGTGGGCGTTCTGGCGCACTATGGCTGCCGTCGCATCATCCAGGTGAATGCTGCACACTGGTGGTGATTGAGGAGATTCCCCCGCTTTCATGTAAAGCGCTTTGAGTACCCAGAAAAGCGCTATATAAATGTAACAAATTATTATTATTACAAATAACAAATTATAAGGCAAGAAAGAACTGCCATCAGTCAAGATTTGTCCCAGAAGCTGATATCCAGCATGCCAGAGCGAATAGCAAAGGTTATGAAGACGAAGGTGAAACACTGTAGATACTGACTCTTTTTGCATATATTGATTTTATTATTTTTTTTTTGCCAAGTAAAGCATTGATGCTTATCACTCTTTTCCAGTGTACCATACAAACATGATAAATAATCTACAAATCCTGAAACAGCAAACTTTGTGAATCACAAAATTTCTGTCATTGCCAATACTTTAGGCCACGGCCATACATATAGATTATACTGGCGCACTTTAGTGGAAGATTTAAATAATGCAATTGTGTCATTTGTCCTTATTTCTGTTTCTGTTTATATAGAGAACATGAAACATGTATGAGCTCCCAGTATCAGACACTGTATCCTCCACTAGGTGGCGCTCTTTCAGTGTGATTAATGTGATATTCAGTCAGTGGTGATGGTGGGAGGAGCCAGTAAAGCTGCTCATTACTGATAAAGAGCTGAATAAAGAGGAAGTAACTAAAGCAGACAGATGTAGAGACAGAGAGATTCACACAGAGATCATTCAGCATAAAGAAGACTGAACTCGTCACGATGAAGATCCTCCTCATCTTCTTCACTTTCTACCTGATCTCAGGTCAGAGCTTTTCTCTTTCATCACTGCAGTAATGATGCTGTTTTCTGTTCATCAGCTTTCTGATCACAGTATTGTAGGGTCCACCCATCGGCTCAACCACAGAATCCAGCTGCGTATAATGTGTGTAGATATTTTACTTACACTTCCATAGAGTTTACCTAATTTATTAGGATTTAGTTTCAATTTGATTCTAGCTCTGTGTTTAACCTGACTCCAATTTTAAGTGACCATTACATTTAGACTGTTTCTAATTAGTAACAAATCACAAATATTGGTTATATATTAATTTAGATATTTGTTTAATTTGAATATCACATATTTGCAGTTATTTGTTCATTAGAGACCCAATGTCGCACAGAGTTTCATGCGGCCGGGGTCGTGGATCTCACGGTCACAAACTCACCAGTATGATCTCAGTCAGAGGCTGCAAGGTTAACCTATATCATAAAGTCGTCCGCCAACTGCATGCTTGCTTAGAGCAAAAAGTGTAGTTTGTTAGGTCACTTCAATACAACTTGCTAAGTCAGTGATAGACATAAATCAAAAGGTCTCCAAAGACGAGCCTACTGCTTCATTCATCAACGAGCCTTTAGTTTGTTCTCAGCTAACATCAGCCTCCACATGATCTGCTAGTCAGAAAAGTTCAGAGTAAATAAAATATAACATTTAATTTGACAGGTAAGAATGTATCATATCAATTACATACTTAAACAGCGAGAATCCAGTTCAGAAATGATAAATGTGACTCTGGAGCACAAAACCAGTCTTAAGTTGCTTAAGTTGGTATGTTTGTAGCAATTACCAAAAATACATTGTATGGGTCAAAATGACCGATTTTTCTTTTATGACAAAAATCATTAGAATATTAAGTAAAGATCATGTTCCATGAAGATATTTCGTAAATGTCCTACCATAAATATATCAAAACTTAATTTTTGATTAGTAATATGCATTGCTAAGGACTTCATTTGGACAACTTTAAAGGTAATTTTCTCAATATTTACATTTTTTTGCACCCTCAGATTCTAGATTTTCTGTATCTCGGCCAAATATTGTCCTATCCTAACAAACCACACATCAATGGAAAGCTTATTTATTCGGCTTTCATATGATGCATAAACCTTTATTTCAAAAAATCGACACTTAAGACTGGTTTTGTGGTCCAGGGTCACAAATACATAACATGAATTGCTCAAAGGTGACTCTAAGCGTGAGATATGCATACTTGACCACAGAGAGACACGCAGCAGCCTGTGAGTGTTCTGGGTGCAGCGCTCCAGAGAGAAAGTTTTTTTTTTTTTTTCTCTGGTTATAGAATCCCAATGACTCTTTTGCCACTTTCCCTTAAATATCCATACCAGAGCAAAGAAATCGAAGTTCTAAAACAGAAGAAGACGTTTTGGTTCGTCAGAATCCCATGACCCAAGGGTCACACCCAGCCAGTGATACCAAACAAGAAAGTCAAAAAAAACAATAGATTCACAAGATACATACAGTGTAGTTGTCTACACTGGATGCGGCACGACAAATTCCCCTCTGTAAACTGATGCTTCGTTCTATTTATGACGAACTGACACAAAGTTCAAATGATTTGCAATGGCTGCTTTGTCGAGTCCAGTGTAGACACACAGTGTTAGTGAACTTTCAGTGAATTGAGCCTTGTGGAGGAGAAGAGGGAAAGGGGGTTCAGGATGGGTGAGCAGCTTCCAATTCTGTGAAAGTTCCTGAGTCCGTTTTTGTCTGAAAATCAAGCCAATCTTTCAGCATCAATCTGATTGACAGGTGCAGTGAAAGACATTGATGTGACTGGATATTCTGGAAGAAGCATTCTTGTTGATTCACATGAGTCTTGGTTCAATTCTTCTGCTAAACACATGAGTAAGTTACCTGGGTGGAGAATAATTATGTTTGATAAGAGACATGAAAAATGGATTAATGAAGGACGATTCACATTGTTTAAAAACAATGAAGACAAACTTATGATCTACATCAGAGATTTAAATCAACATGATGCTGGAAGATACCAGATTAGCGTTGAAGGCAAATGGTCCATCGATATGACTTTGAAAGTGGAAGAAGGTCAGTTATTTTAAGATCAGATTTTTAAGATCAAAAGTGTAGTAAAACAACTGATCATTTCAAAACTTTTAATGTTTGTGAAATCTATTTCTTTCATTTTGTGAATTACAGAAATATGTTGTAAAATGTCGAAGAGAGTAATGGTGAAGATTGGAGAAACTGCCACCTTCAGCTGTGAATATTCGTACAGTCATATTAATAACTACAAAATCATATTCAAAGAAGGAAGAGACACCATTGACACGATCTACAGCAGAAGGAATAAAACAGAAAGATTCAGTGTTTCAGATGACAAACATAAAAACATCTTCAGTGTGAGAACCACTGCTGTGACAGCAGATGATGGAGGAGTTTATTTGTGTGGAGTTTGGATCAACAGACACTCGTACAGTTACTCCATTATTACTACAGTTTACCTGCACATTATGGGTGAGTAACACAAATTATCAATGTCTTCTAGAAAATACATGTTTGCTTCTTCAGTATTTCCTAGATGTCACATTCGATTAATGTGATTCAATAAGATATTTTCTGATAAACAGATGTAGTGGGCGTGTCTAGAGTGAGCGGCTACTCAGGAGGTCGTCTGATGATCAAGTGTGAACATCTTCAATACAAAACCAAACCAAAATACATCTGTAAAGAATCAGACGGATGTTCAGAGAGGAAGAATCCAGGAGTTTGGGGGTCCAAACTTTTCCACAAAATCGGTGCCTTTTCCACTTGGAAAAATAGAAAAATAAAATACGTTTAATCAACATTTTTTGAATATCCATGAAATGAAGACACCTTAAAATGACAAGAATTTGTATTCTGCCATCTCAGGCTATGTAAATTTATTATTTTATGACTATTTTTCAACCTCATGTTTTGGTATTTTTGTCAACCCTGTTACCGACACAAGCGTTACTAGATACTGTAGTTTAATTAGAACTCATATGCCACTGAATGATATAGGCATTACCTCAATAATATATAGAGGGTGACCTTTAAAAGATAGTCTTTAAAGACAGGGTCAAACCTAATCAATGCCATCCCTGTTACCCACATGTCAAAACCTGTACTCTAAAAAGTAACAGGTTGACAGTAACAGGTTTGATGATTTCAAACAAATTGGCTAATTACTAGCTAATAGTCAAGTTCACAAAAGCACATGTTGTACACTTTGAAAGGATTTTTACTTGTAAATATTGATTATATTAAATGTAAGAAATATTTGTTTAAATTTACATCTTAAAAATGGTAACAGGATTGCAGAAGCATGTTTACTCTGCTGTAAAAGTACATTTCAAGTGTCAGTACTTTATCAGAGTGTTTTTCTTTAGAAAACTTTACTTCACAACATTCCAAAGCAAAATATTGTACTTTTTACTGGACTATGTTTCATATTAAATGTAATTTAATACTTAATTACAGTAGAAATATATTACTTTCTTACATTTACTCAAGTAAAAATAATTCAAAGATTTACTTGAGTACAAGAAAGTACTACATTATTAATGTTCTTAAGTATTAAAGGTAAAACAAACAACAACTTTCATTTATGAAATGAAGTGCAGTAAAAAGTATGACATTATGCTTTGGAATGTAGTGAAGTAAAGTTTTCCAAAGAAACACACTGATAAACTACAGATACTTTTTAAATTGACTTGAGTAAATTAAAAATACTTCACTGTTGTCCGCCTCTGCAGGATTGACATTGCATGATAGCCCCCCTCAGTCAAGCCTCATAAATCATCAAAAATAGAACATCATAGAGGAGCAAACATGCTTGTGTTTAAGTGCAGGAATCCTGGTTGAGAGATGATGTGACCTCCTAGAAATTATGTCACTTGAATGTAAATTATTTTATAAAACAAGGGTTTTTTGATGAGGGTAACAGTTCCAAAGCAAAATATTGTACTTTTTACTGGACTACGTTTCATATTAAATGTAATTTAATACTTAATTACAGTAGAAATATATTACTTTCTTACATTTACTCAAGTAAAAATAATTCAAAGATTTACTTGAGTACAAGAAAGTACTACATTATTAATGTTCTTAAGTATTAAAGGTAAAACAAACAACAACTTTCATTTATGAAATGAAGTGCAGTAAAAAGTATGACATTATGCTTTGGAATGTAGTGAAGTAAAGTTTTCCAAAGAAACACACTGATAAACTACAGATACTTTTTAAATTGACTTGAGTAAATTAAAAATACTTCACTGTTGTCCGCCTCTGCAGGATTGACATTGCATGATAGCCCCCCTCAGTCAAGCCTCATAAATCATCAAAAATAGAACATCATAGAGGAGCAAACATGCTTGTGTTTAAGTGCAGGAATCCTGGTTGAGAGATGATGTGACCTCCTAGAAATTATGTCACTTGAATGTAAATTATTTTATAAAACAAGGGTTTTTTGATGAGGGTAACAGGGCTGACATGAAATCAGGGGACACCAATAAAATTATTTATGTTTTATAGAAAAAATGCATACTTATGCCAAAAATTCTGCTTAACAATGAGACGATATTTATTTAGAACAATATGCAAATGTGATTTTTATACCTTTTGCCTTCATTTTGCAAATTAAAAGTCCTGCTGAAAAAGAAAAAATTTTTATGTAATATTGATGAAACCATGCATAGCATTGTTATGTTTTTCAATTACACATTTATTTGTTATTATATTAAATCTATGTTTGATTATTTCTTAGAGACACCAAAGGAACACATTTCATGGAATAACACTTTGAATAAATGGATGGAGAATGGAGATGTTTCTTTATATGACGACACCAGAGCAGGAGTCTTGATGGTGTTTTTTAGAGAGCTGAAAGCTGCAGATGCAGGAACATACAGGTGTGGAGTGAAAGTATCTCAGTATACTGAGAGCTTCACTCAACTACAGCTGAGCGTCAAACACGGTGAGGAAACTCAAATAATTTATCTTGTGTATATAAAGTATTTTTTCTTGTCTGTATGTTAACTTGTCTTGGTTTGTAGATGCAAAATATCCAATGGATGTGACTAAAACTGCTCATCTTGGTGAAGTCAACATCACCTGTCAGATCCCAGAGAAAAATACAGTTCATTTCTGCAAAGAGGAAGATAATCACATCTGCCAGAACATCGGCTCATCTGAAGTGACACAAATGAGTGGTTCATCTGAGAGAAATGAAGAGAGAGTTGTTACAGTGAGCATCAGTAATGTGAGCGTGAGAGATGCTGGAGTTTACTGGTGCGGAGCAGAAACCAGAGACACATATCTGACTTTCATCTCCCTGACCACTAAAATTCAGCTCAACCTCATCAGTGAGTCCATTCAGATGATTTCACTGTAGTAAATACAGTCTGTTCAGAATCATGTGTGTTAAATGTCTGTTTGTTTTCAGTGGCACCAGTAGTGAGACGTGAAGGAGAATCTGCTGAGATCTTCTGCCCTTATGATTCAATCTATAAATCAAAGCCAAAGTCTCTCTGTAAGGGGAAGTGCTCCACTAGAGACAGAAATCCTCTCAGTGAGACTGTGAGAGAAGAGAAAGAGACCAAGACTGACAGATTGACTCTGAAAGATGACGTCACTGCAAGTGTCTTCACTGGGAGCATCACTGCACTGACAGCAGAGGATGCTGGGAAATACTGGTGTGCAGTGACATTAGAAACAGAGCTCAGTTATCTTCACACTCATCTGATCGTCATCATGAACGAGGGTGAGGAAGGTTTATTCATCTGAATATGTCAAACTCCGGCTGTGAATTGATCTTCTGGGGTATACTGGTGTGGAGCTCACGTCACCACTAAAGTCACCCTCAGTGTTAAAAAGGGTAAGATAGTTTATCATTTATCCATTGTTTTTGGTTCAGATTTAAATATTCAGAAATCAGCTCATGAACAATCACTCAAGCATTGTGGTAGCACGTGGAATGTGTTTATTCTGATGCTATTTCAGCAACAGTGTATCAAAATGATGAGATAAAAAGACAGTGTACCATGAAATAGTGGTAAGAAAATGATTAAGTTTGTATTAAGTTGTCCTCACAGAACACACACATGCAGTGCACCCAGTGTTTACTGCTTTATGAACAATTTACTCTTAATAAGCTCATCAGTTATTTTAATGAATTGTTCAAAAAAGGTTTTTAAACTCACAAACTCAAAACTCAATCAGAGCTTTTACTGGATCAATATCTGACAACTTTCTAACCTGCAAGATATCAGTGGCCTAACGTGTTCTCTCTGGGTTAAAATTATGAACCTTCTGCTACACACCAAGCAGACGAATGAGTGTAGTCTACTATATGATCATGTTTAATACAGGCCTGTTTAAACAGGACGAGATTTCCCTGAGATTAGGCAAATTCAACGTTCACAAAAGACAACTAATTCTGTGTGAATCAAAACATTTGTATTTTGTTTTCTCTGAAAACTATGGAGCAAAATACTGATGTTAAGCTAACTCAAAGTGTCCTCTGATATAATCCTGTGCAGATATTATGTCTGTGATTGCAGTAGATTGAAGCAGAATTAATGAATATAACAGTTGAGATCTTTAAACTTTTTTTTTATTCTGACACTGGCCCTGTGTCTCTTCTTTATTGTCGCTGCTTATCTTGTGAAACTCTAAATATGGCCATAGACACAGTTTCCTCTGTAGCGAGAGAGGTGAGAAAACAAGACGTGTCCAAACTCACAGTATAGATTTAGTTGCTTGTGACGGAAAGTGTTTAGTGTTTTCATTTCACGTTAAAACCACAGAGATGAGCTGAAGGTCCAGCGTCTCAGTTTAATTCGGCTGTGAAGAACTATTGGCCTTTATTCAGGAAACCCACGTGAGGCTCAACTGAGAGATGAATGTAGGTTATGTGTAAGTCTGCAGATGAGAGACTAAAACGCTCTCATGTTACTGCAGAATAATTCAGCTTCATGTAACATGAATAAATGAAATGTGAAGCATGACTCGTTCCTTTATGACAAACATTATATTTTATTAACACTGGTTGTGTTTTATTCTCAGATTTCTTCATGATCATCATTATCAGTGTGTGTGTGATTCTGCTGCTGATCAGTGGATTCACTCTGACTGAGTGCAAATTAAGACACAAGAGACGAGGCGCCGCTCACTCACAGTTACCCACAATCCCCTCTGATGGGCTCCTGTACGCTGCTGTCAGTTTCCAGAAGCATGAAGAGTCTCTCAGTGACGCTACAGTCAGATTCAGTAAGAATGAGATTCACTCTGATTACGCATCTGTCAGTCATCGCATGAGACTCAACTAACTATAACAGAGATCACAGATTATCACGTTACCTACATTTTACATTTAATTTGACATGTTTCGCAGTTTATTTTATTAAAAATCTCTTTAAAATCCATAACTTGGTGTTAACAGACGTTTGGTTTGAGTAAGGTAGTTCAGTGAAGACAGAAAATAACCCCCCTGAGTGACACTTCTAGAATATACTGTAAAGTTTCCACTCCAAATACAGAGACACAGTATATTTTTTAAATGCAGCTTTTGACATTAGATTTAATAAAACATTTTCTATAGCATCTGAGCGCAGCGAGACCGTTTGAATGTAAACAAAGTTCGCGGGTAAATCGTCCTATAAATGAACAGACAGATCAACGAGGACAAGATTTCAGTGAGTAATCGTTTACATTTGGATCTGTTCCTCACACAAACCTATTGTATGTCTTTAAAAGACTTGCAATGACACACCACGAAACTTATGGACGATTGATATATTTCTGGAGCTTATCAGCAGTGGTTTAACTAACGGTCGCGCTGAGGCTCCTGAATCTCACAATATCTTAACAAACTCAAACAACATGTGACTAAAATAAATTATGGACTTTACTAATTATACAGTATATGCATCATTATATGAAACACGTGCTAAGATATCAAAATGACTCATTTCAAACAATATATCAGACTAGATTTTTACATATTCAGAATATATGAAACTCTATGAACACTATTATTTTGTGAAATGTATTTAAGGATAGTGCGTTTTAAGGACAGAATAAAGACATAAGGACAATAAAGACACTGCATTTTATGAGACTGTAAACGGAAAATTACAGTATAATCTATTTCATATTTTTATTTTTGTTCTTGTAAGCTGTGCAGACGACCTCTGTTGCATTTCTCTAGTTGTTAGTGTTTGTGATGTCCTGTTCTCCATTGCATTTATTATAGTTTTGCAGCATCTAAACGCACAGCCAGCTGTCTTATTGAAACCTCTGGCTCTCTCTAGTGGCAAATATGAGGTAATGTTACATTTCTATGACTAGCCTAAACATTACATTTCTTGGTTTCATTAATATTAGTTGTATGCACGTGTATTGTGTGGTAGTGGATATAGAACAAATATTTATTTTCTTGTGTTCTGGTTTGATTCATTATAAATGACACTGATTTACTCGCCTCCTGTATGTTCAAAAACAAAACAAAAAATGAATCTGGAGAAATTACACTTTGGTAAAATATTTGATAATTACATGGAGGCATTATTTTAATGCAGATGTCGTTATGCTCAAAGTCAAAGTGAAGGGAAGGAAGCAGATAAACTTATGTTCAACTGTCATCAGTGATGCTGAAGTTTGTCTGAAAGCTGCTGTCCGTGGTGCTGAATCCACAAATCTACCATATTATTAGTGGTTTTTATGCATAAAATATCAAAAATAAATAAATACCCCCCCACACAAATCTAAATCCAATCAGATATGGTCTGTTTCCTTATAAATAGATGTTGATGTTTCTTGCAGCTAATAAAAAAATTTTTTTTTTTTAAAGATTTTTATTTTTTTCCCCCAAGAGTGCCTTGATGTAGACTATGGAGCACGGTGAACTTATATGCACAGCTGTCCTCTAGTGGGAGATTTAAAAAATGCTCACCCTGATCTGAACTCCTTGAGTGTCATTTGCCCTTATATAGAGGACATTTATATCTACTTGGGCCTGTGAGCTCTCGGTATCAGACACTGTATCCTCCACTAGGTTGCGCTCTTTCAGTGTGATTAATGTGATATTCAGTTAGTGGTGATGGTGGGAGGAGCCAGTAAAGCTGCTCATTACTGATAAAGAGCTGAATAAAGAGGAAGTAACTAAAGCAGACAGATGTAGAGACAGAGAGATTCACACAGAGATCATTCAGCATAAAGAAGACTGAACTCAAGTCACGATGAAGATCCTCCTCATCTTCTTCACTTTCTCCCTGATCTCAGGTCAGAGCTTTTCTCTTTCGTCACTGCAGTAATGATGATGTTTTCTGTTCATCAGCTTGCTGATCACAGTATCAATCTGATTGACAGCTGCAGTGAGATGCTTTAGCGTCACTGGATATTCTGGAGGAAGCGTTCTTGTTGATTTTGGGGAGTCTTGGTTCAGTGACTCTATTAAATATATGGCCAAATTACCTGAGTGTAGAAGAATAAAAAATGATAAGAAACATGAACCAACTGAACCAACAGGATCCTGGAAGATACAGGATTGGGGTTTCTGACACGAGGTCTAAATATATGAATTTAATTGTGACAGAGGGTAAGTTTAATTGAGATCTAAATGAGTATAGTTAAATTACTGTTACATTTTAAAGCTTTAATACATACAAATATTTTGTTTCTACATGAACGATAGATTCGTGTTGTGGGTTATCAAAGACAGTAATTGTGAATCGTGGAGATAATGTCATGATCAGCTGCAACTATTCAGAGAAACATAAAAATTATCCCAAAATCATGTTCAAAAAAGAAAAAGCCTCCATGGAGATGATTCACACCACTGAGAGATGGCGAAATAAAAAAAAAAGGTTTTTCTGATGACAGGAAAGAAAACATCTTCAGTGTGATAATCACTGCTGTGACACCAGATGATGGAGGAGTTTATTTGTGTGGCGTTTGAATCAACAGACACTCGTAGTTACTCCATTATTAATACTGTTCATCTACATATTAGTAAGTCTGGAAAAATGCTCAATCAAATATGGAGGAAAAATACATTATGTGTTTGCTAAATATTTAATTACATTAAATATTAATATTAAATATATTAAATATTTGTGTTTGATAGATAAATTGAATGTGTATAAAGTGAGCGGCTACTCAGGAGGTCGTCTGATGATCAAGTGTGAACATCTTCAATACAAAACTAAGCCAAAATACATCTGTAAAGAATCAGACAGATGTTTAGAGAGGAAGAATCCAGAGGCCTCATTTATAAAACGTGCGCACAGATTTGATCGTAGAGTGTGCGTACGCAAAAATCCACGGCAACGTTCATATTTATAAAAACAGTCTTTGACGTGGAAAAGAGATTAGCGCCACGTCAGGGTCTGAGCAGACGTACGCACTTTTGTTTGCCCGAGTGCTGCAGGTTTTTGGAAATATAAGCCATTCTTGCCGCTTGTAAAAGATTTGGACATTGTCAGGTGCTCTTTTATAAGTCAAGGACATTAATTAGACATTATTTAGAGGGCGGAGATCTGAAACTGTTCAGCTGCGCACAATTTCAAGATCATTGGAATTTATAGATTTCACATCTAAAAGAGAGGCGTACGCACGTTTTCTGTGCATACGTTCGTTCTATGAATCAAATGTACGCACTTTGAGAAATTATCGTAAAACCAAATTTAGGATTCTTTCTACGAAGTATTTTATAAATGAGGCCCCAGGAGTTCAGGATCAATGGATGGAGAATGGAGATGTCTCTTTATATGACGACACCAGAG